TTTCCATGGTGAGCCTTTTTGTTAGCTACATTGTGTTTTCAGGTGTAATGTTGCAGCACTTTTAGTTTCTGAATCTTTGGGAGCTAATGGGAAATATTGTCTTTTCCCCCAGCTAGATGCACTGCAGGGAGATGCAGTATAAGACATGGACTCCAGTGCATGGATCTGTCATGGTGCTGGATCTAAAGTAGAGCCATATGGAGAGTGCCAGCCCATTAGCTGGAGCACAAGGAGGTCAGCCATGACATTCTGATGGATGAGCATGCATGCACAGATCAGGGGCTGTGCTCTACTCTCTGCTCAGAGACCGAGCTCACCTGTCACCATTCACCCTCAGACTCCCTCCCTGCAGCCACTCAAACCTTTTGACCAGCCATCCTTTGGCACGCTCAGTGGCCACACTCCACCCACCTCATCATCGCCATCCTGTGATTTCAGAGATTATACATCTGACGCTCGCTTAGTTCCAGACTGTCTCTCTGTGTCCGACATGTGTGAGAGCCCAGCGGACTGTGCTCTGCATCCAGATGATTTCGGCCTTCTGTTGCAGCCACAAGAGGGCAGCGTTGTCCAACTGCATCATGATGCTCCTGACTTATCCACACATACCAGTGTTTTTAATCCCAGCCAGTCTCCCACATCCCTAGAGCCTAACCAGTATAGCGAAAGTGAGCAGGTGGAGATCAGTATTCTGGCCCAGCAGATCTCCTCGCTGGCCAGCAGGTTTGACCGGCATCACACTGTGAATCCCTATCAGCATGTGGTCCAAACTACAGCCACCAACACGATGCCCTCAGCCTGTGACTGGCCCCCTAATTCTCCTCCCCCCTCAGTTCGTCTTCCCAATCCTGCACTGGTTCTTGATGTTGCCATGTTTGACAGCTTCATGAAAGATCTGAACATGTTCACAAGAAAAAGCAGCACATTGAGCGATACCAACTACCAGCAGGGCTTAGTGTGCAGCAGGAACGGGCACCATCCCCATCAGGAGCAGCAGGAGCACATTGGCTTCATTGCAGAGGAGCTGCTGGCTGCAGAGCACTTCACCGTGGGCAGCATCGCCATAGATCCCATCAGTATGCAGCTGGGACGCCATGATCAAACCACTGGGTTGCTTCAACATCATCTCTACTAAACAGTCCACCCTAATGAGATGGCACATGACAGTTGTCGGGTACAGATGGTGCTGAGACTCCAGTTCGTGGATCTGTCATGGTGCCGGATCTATAGTGGAGACAAAGAGTGAGTGACAGATCAGCTGCCTTGCATGGCTTCACCCTCATCACCAGCACACAGGGCACGCTGGTCTGTGCTTGAGAAAGTGTAGCTGAATATCTCGGGCTTTCCACGGTGAGCCCTTTTGTGAATTACATTGGCATTTTCAGGTGTAATGTTGCAGCAGTGATGGATTTTGAATCTGTTAGAACTAACACCAACTATGTCGCTTTCGCAGGTGTATGTACTGCGAGGAGACACGTGATGACATGGTGGGATGTTCTGATACTGAGATTGTTAAATCAAACCTGGACATCGAAAGCAACATATTATCAGGTAACCAAAATTTCAAATGATGCGTGGCATTTAAAATGACTGTATAAAACGATCCCCCTCTTTTTGCTGTAATATTACTGACATTGCTGGTGTAGGTGGAAAAAATGAGCCAGTTTCCCCTGAAATCTGTTTATGAAATCCATTACTGATGCAGCATTGTGCTACAAAGCCCTTATTTTAAGTGAATTTCTTCCATTTAATTCATAGTTGGTTTTAAAACTCGGCAAAACTAGTCTTAAATGTTTTAACAAACATGAAAGACTAAACTGACGTGTTTTCTTTCCTCAGAGCGGAGTTTTATATGTTGCATGAAATCCTCCAAGACCTTTAAGTTGGAACATGGCAGCTGCTCCTCTACACTGGTCAGAGTTGAGGGAAGATCTGGAAGCTTCCTCTGTGTGTCCTCCCTTACCATCACCACCACTGAGCCACTGTTTGTCACTGTCTGCACCCCAGCAGTGAACTGCCTGAGGAGCACGGACTCTCATGGACTGGATATGAGCTTTATGAAGCTGTCAGTTAGGTACAATTGCACAACTCCTTCTGTGAGCAGGCATAATGAACGTTTTCCTGTTTATTGACATTTTGATTTTCCATTTTAGCGTGTCTCCTTTGTTGGGGTATTCAGCAGAGGA